GCCTAGCTGTTCCTCATCAGCTGTGTGATTGACATTTCATCATCAATCTCATTGTTATTTAAACAATGTGTGCTTATGGGGGGAGAAGCCATGGTACATTATAATAATGACCCTTAAGAATAGTTATATTAATTTCAGAGATTATTGCACGATGTTTGATGCATTTCCATGGTCTTTGTGAAAAAAAAGGGGGGGTGGGTAGGAAGGGTAAGACCTATGTGCAATCATTTCTCTGGCAGACTCTTTCAAAAATAAATATATATGAAAATGCACTCTTATAGTTCTCCATTAGATTTCTCCTGAAACTGCATAATTTGGATATCTGAGGACTGACATGGTTATGCCATTATGCCAGCTATTTAGCAGGGCTCCCTAAGTGGAAGAAGTCTATAGATTTTTTTCAGTATATACACTGATTTACACTTAGTGTAAAGTTGTTACTGACCCTTTAAGTGGAGCTGTCCAAATAGCAGTAAATGTTGGTTGATCCTATTGCTGAAACACGTAATAGCTGCAGGATCTTGACTAAATCTTCCAGTAGAAAAAGCCATGTATAGTATTTCCTAAACAATAGCAGTCTCTTATACACACACACACACACACACACACAATCAGACCACTTTATCACTCAACTAGGAAAACTTGATCTAACTATCTTAGCAGTATTCTTGATGTTCCCAGGTTTTCTGAAATACTAACACTTTATTAGAACCTCCTTGAAGGCAGGAACTTTGTCTACCTGGTGGCCAACTGTCTCGCCCCTTAGTCAGCATCTGGAGTAACGTAGGTGCACTGTAAATGCTGGCTGGTGAAATGGAGCATTTGCTGACACTGAATAGCATGCATGTTGGCCTGAATTCCTGGTGGGTGAAATGGGGACCACTCTCATTTTGCTTTTGGGTCATAATGTTGGTAAGAACTTTGACAGATGGTTATGACTTTTTGAAATAGTTTATTGGTTGGATTGCCTAGCAAACTTCACTTTCTCATTCTGTTGTCTACTTTCACAGGCTGTCATTCTAGAAAATGAAGAACTCCCCAAACTGTTTCTTGACTTCCTAAACGTGCGACATTTGCCCTCTCTACCAAAGGCAGAGAGTTGTGGGTAAGAGTGGTTGTTTACCTATTGGACATGTATCTTAAGTTACATTTCAGTCATTTACTGACCTAACCAGTCATTTACTGGTGCCAGAAGGGCCAGCCTGGCCACACACGTGCTGTGGGCTCAGGACAGCACTCACTCCCCCTGCCTGAAGTCAAAGGAATTCCTCCTGCGTCCTTGTGCCCATATTACAGCCAGATGACCACTGCTCAGGTTTAGACGTGAAGAACTGACTTTTTAAATTATGCTGCTATATGGAATGTTGTTATATCATGGGGATTATAAATCTACATAGCCTTTTACAGACTAATTATTTGTGGACTCTTGGGCAAAGTCTGTATCCCGTTGGCATGTATATTCACATGATTTTAAAGCTGTAAGTGATCTTAGAGATGATTTGACCCAACTCCCTTCATTTTAGAGTTGCACAAACTGAGACCAGGAATGAAGTGCCTTCCCAAGATCTCTTGCCTTGGAGCTGGCAGAGCCCAGGCCTCTTGTGTAAGCTCCTTCCCCACTGTCCTGCTGCCTCTCCCTCAGGACCTTCTAAATGCAGGGCTGCCAATCCTAATCCTCTTCTCCCAAGAAACCAGATATTTGATCTCATCAGCAATTGGGAAAAGTTGTTCTGCAGAATTAAGTCTGAAATAAGCCACTCGCTCAGCTCTGGGCACCTGACTGTGTTGAGTTGGCTTGCGAAGGCAGTCAACAGCATCCCCAACATGTTAAATCTGTTTACAAAGAACCAAGTCATCACAAACTCTCTACCAATGCAAGCTGGGGAGAGGTGTTTATCCATTTTCTTGCTGCTTCCAGATGTGCCTGCAGGATCCACACTAACTGCAAGACATTTAAGCTAACCACACCCAGAGTCGTGTTAAACCCCAGCTGTCTGCTGGTGAGAGGCTACCAACACCTGTCACAGCTCCCTCACCAGCAGGCTTTGCTTGGGGCCACCTTCCACTCATTCCAGAGCAAGAACACACACCCCAGTCAGCAAATCATATGCATGGTCACTGCACCTTCTTCCAACTAGCATGCATTTGCTGGGAGATTGGTCTTCATGTGTGGTTGTGTGTTTTTAAGAAGAATATTGGGAATGAAGTGAGTGAAATCTTCTTTTCATTATATAAGTCCAAAAGGAAAACCATGGGATTTTTAAGTGATCTTCGGGAAAATTGAAATGCAAGAATGTTACAGTCTTACGTTTCCTTAAAATGAGGCATCAGCAATGCCGTGACTCTGTGAAAATACCTGACTTTTCAAAATGTCTCCCAATTCAGAGCTCTGAGAATACTGGCTGTTTCTTCCTTTGTTGGCATAAATACTGACCCAATTCATATGGTCTTTCTCTTTTCTTTAAAAATAATTTTAGATCTTTTGATGAGACAGAATCTGAAGAGTCAAGGTAAGAACAAATTCCAGTCAATCAGGAGTTATACACCAACCAAGAATAGGAGTATGGCTTTGTTAAATGTTTAATTGCCATCGTCCAAGTGTTTCAAGTCATGATTTTGTTGAAGACCGTTGTTAAGAAATTGATTTTAAGATTATAAATATTTAATGGGAAGTTACAGAAGAACCAGTCACATTTAACAGCGAAGAAATAAAACCCTACGTTGTTTCATACAAGTAATAAGAATACTATTTCATCAGTAACCAGACTATAAGATATAAAAAAAACAAAAATGCTTTTCAGCAATGATTTACGGTATAGATTGTATATCTACTTCAAGTTCTACGAAGACACATTTGGAAGACGTATGCTACTAGTTCGTTCCTCCAGCTCTGCTTTGCTGTTATTCCCGCAACGTAAGATGCAGAAACCTTGAGACGTCCCCGCACACCAGTTTGATCCCCTCAAAGCTAGTTTGTAGTGTTTTCTGTTTACCGTCGTCCCCTGATGCTGACATGCCTGTTCTTGACCTTTCCAGCAAACTGTCCCACCAGCCGGTGCTGCTGTTCCTCAGGGATCCATACGTCTTGCCTGCAGCCAGCGGTAATCAAACCTGTCATCTGCTAACAGCTCTTTACTGATCTGACCCTGCACCACATAAACCACGTTTTTAATACAGGTCTAACAGAGTGACATTGGTCCGGGGCTTAATAATCTGCCAATAAACCAGTGCTCTTGGTGTAAGAGACATTCAGAATTTTAATTGGGGCAGGCCTTTCAGGAGGAAATGTAATTTTTTCTTTCTCTCTTGCCAGGCTGTTTTAAATTAGAGTAATAAGGGGGAAAGGTATTTATTGTCCTTAATTTTTTTTGGTGGTGTTATTTTGACCTCTGTTGGGTAATTTTTTTTTTTTTTAACAGATGCTAGGGTTTGAATTCAAGGCCCTGGCCCTTTTTAAAAATGTTTCTTCCCCAAAGCTGTGTCTACAGTGCATGGGTATCTCCATTTAGATTACAGCATCTTTGATGGTCAAATATACATTTTAAAAAGTTGTATATTTAAGTATAATGAATTAATTTAAGTATAACTTTAATTCAGTATTTTAGCCTGAGTCCTTTTTTTGTGCCAAGAAATTCATATTATTCAGAGTCCCTCTCAAAGTGTTCTGAGTAGATTCTCAGACGTTATCTCATTTAATTTCCTTAACAACCTCATGAAATAGGCAGGGCAGGCATCATCATTCGCACTTGAGAAAACTGGGGCTCAGGGGGATCCCTGACTTGCCCAGGTTCACATGTGTGGTGGGCGGATCCCGTTTTGCCCAATTTCTCCTTTCCATACAGTGAATTTTCAGCCTTTGTTTCAGAGAGTAACCAGAGCATAGTAAATAAATAGCAATAGGTAAATTACCTATTGAAACCATTCCTCCATTCTGATAATAAACAGTTATCACCAGCAAGAGAGAGGGGACTGTTCTCTGTGGCAGGGATGCTGGTACTCATGTCACCCGCTTAGCTGTCAGTTTAAAGGATGCTGGCTAGGGCACAGCCCTGCTCTGTTGAGGGACTGTTCTAGCAGAGAAAGCTGCCTTTGCTGTACACAAATAAGGTCTCATAGTATTTTCCCTATAGAATCCTTTCAGTGAGGAGTAATTATCTATCTTTAGCATTTGCTTCCCATCTAACAAATAGGGATTGTGTATTAGTTGATACTATGTTAACAAGATGTTACACGTAACAAATATCATTTTACCTAGTCTAGATTAAATTGGCAGTGTTTTATAAAGTATTTGTACTAGGTTTTAAAAATGGTTCCACAAGTACTTTTTCCAGGTACTGTTTGTGCTCCGATAGTTCATGCATTTGACTGAAATCCTGCAAAAGTGTAGAGTGGAATGATCATTGTGGACTGGAATGGCCAGGATGCTTTATGGAGGAGGGAATATATTTTATGATCCTTAAATCTGATGCATCCAGCTTATTAAGGAGCATGTGCTATGTACCTGGCTTGATGATGAAGGACAGGAGGAACTTTCTGAGAAGGCGCATCAGGGCAAATGTCTGGAGTTGGAAAGAGGAAGTATGGATCATTGGTAGAATGTTGATGCAGCTGAATGACTTGCACAGAGAGGGGATTCCTGTTTGAGAGTAAATGAAAGTCATGGGATTGATGGACAGGATGCAACCGGGTATGGAAGGGCCAGATACTAGATCTACTTCCGAGAAACTTCGACCCACCCAATATCATAAATCAGATTCTTGTCGTCTTAGAAGCATTGTAGTAGTGACATATTCTTGCAAATCTTTAGCATTTAATTTAAAGATAAATTTTACTGGCCTCGTATGTTTGTGTTATAAGGCCTCTTAACAAAATGTTGAGGTTCCTATTCCAGAGGAGTCTGAATATGGATGTACCTTTACAGGTACAGTGACACCCACAAAATTAGAGGAGTGTCTGTCTTTAAAATTCTGACAGTTAAACACTATCCTCTTATAAAAATGCTAAAACTAAAACATTATTGTCTTAGTATATGCTTATCGGCCTTTGTTTTGATTTTTCTGGGAAATTCGTAGCAGCTCTCACCCAGGTCCCCAGAGACTACAATGTGGCTAACCTCTGCGGACGTTTTTCTGTCCTCCTCTGACTTGACTTATCATCATCTTTAGCCACTGTTGGCCACTTTCTCCTCCATCAAACACCATCTCTCTTTGGCTTTCCCACTTTTCTGCTTTTCTTCCAGGCTCTGGTAGCTCAACCGAAGTCTGTCCTAGACCCTCTGCTCTTCTCATTTTACTTGAGAAATGACTGTGGCTGGGATTACCTTGCGTATACAGCTGAGTCACAAGATTGTTCTTCCATCCCGACCCTCTCTGCGAGCTCTAGGCTGTCACCGTGGTTGCCAAGGTCCCCTGTGGGTGGGCCCTGGCTCACGTTTCTGCCGGGACCTCCTTGCACACTCTGGTCCATCCTCATTGCAGTTCTCTCTGGGCCTGAGCTGTGTTGAGCCCAGTCACCTCAGGGCCCCTCCTGCTTCTTCCTCCTCAAACCCTCTCCTTGTCCTCACACATCGTTGGCCTTTCATCTTTCAGGTGCAACTTTAGAGAGCCTTTGCTGACTCTCCTTTCAAGTAGCCTCCAAGAGTACCTCCACCACATCCACTTTTTCTTTAAGCTTAACAATAAATGTTTCTAAAAATAAATGAAAACCAACAAAAATAACAACAAATCCTATCCTAAATTTCTTTCCTCTTCATCAACTCTCAGTGAGAAGCAAAGGCAAGTGCAGTTTTCTGAATAATTCAAGCAGTAATGGACATTATATCAAATGATGCATATAATAAAGCCAAAATCTGGTTAGAGTGGAGTGGAACAGGGAAAAAAAAAGACCTCGGATTATCTCATTGGTTACTAGTTGGTGGACCTTGTTATAAAATATCTCTGTTCCATTCACTTTTATCTGAGCACCCTACTGACTTCCTTTATAACAATGATCACGGATTGTGTTTCCTTTCCTCTCTCTCTTTCTCTCTCTTATATTCACCCTCTAAATCTCCAGCATCTGGCATATGCTCAGCATTTGCTGGACAGTGAATACAGGGCCTAGGCATGTGCTGTTCCCTCTGTCGGGAATGCCCTTCCTCCAGACACCCTCAACAGCTGCTGCATCACATCCCTCAAATGGCACCTTCACGCAAAGGTCCTTCCTCACCTTCCCATCCCCTGTCACTCTCTGTCCTCATGCCTGCTTTATTTTTTTTCCTTGCCTTTAAACCACTGCTTGATCTATTAGAGTGCTCTAATTACCTGGAGTGTTTAATGTTATCTTCTTTTTGTCCTTTTTTGCTGATCTTATTTATTTGAATCAAAATGTTTTAAGCTAAATACGCTTCAAGTAGACTTTTTATATTTTGGGTGGCAAAGGATAAATGCATGTATGCTAATGCGTGCAATATGTCTAAATTTGGGTTATTGAAAATTAACAACTTCATTTATGGCTATTGGTTTCAATTCATATTTGTGTGGAAGAAATACATTTAGAATTAAAATTGACTTAGCTAAATCATTGATTTTGGATGGGATCTAAATATGTAGGTGAAAGTCTGATGACAAACTTTTAAGGATACCTTTTTCGAAAGATCATGTTACTTCATGTTAGATAAAAGCAACCATTAAAAAATCAAGTGTCATCAACCAAAAGTAACTGAGTACTTGTGTACTGGAGATATTTTAAAAACGTATTTTGCTTGTTTATTCACTTGTCTCCCTGACTCATGTGTAAGTTCTATGGTGTGGGCAGGCACTGTTACGTATGTTCCCAGTAATTAGACAGTGCTTGGTACGTAATAATAGCTGGTACTTACCGTGTGCCAAATTCAGGCCCAAGCACTTTGTTTCATTCATCAATTTTTACAATGCTCTTTAGGTGGGTACTCTTAAGAAATCCCTCACCAGTCTTGTTGAATCCATCACCACTTTGAACTTGCTCCAGTCCACTCCCTGAATGGCAGTCGGAGTCATCTCTTCCAAACGTTTCATTTCTGTCTTACTCTGCTTAAAATCCTTCAGTAGCTTCTCACTGCTTTTCAGATAAAGTCAGACTTCCTGTCCATTCTTACCAGGCTTGAATTGCCCCTCTGTGCTCACGGCCACTCCTCTTGCTACACTCGCCTCCATTCAGGTCGTTGAATCCTGCAGGCACCTGCTTGCCACAGACTTTCCAAGTCCTCTCCTCCCTGATGAGATCCATTCCCCTTGTATGTGGTTTTACCTGGTAGGTAGTATAGAGATTGGATTAATAAGTGAACATACTGTTTTTTGTCTTAACGTATCAGACTGCTTAAGTCCCTTAATAAATATATGTATTTAAATCCTGGATATAACTGTGTGCAGATTGAAACTGAGAAATGAAACTTCTGGTTTCTGTGATAGATTAATTCCCCTCTTCAAGTTATCCGTTCATATTTTACCTACTCTGATAACTAAAATGTGGTACAACATAAATACACCTCTGAATTTCCTTTGTATCTCCTATAAAAGTGTAGCCGATTTTTCAAGTTTGACAGGATAGCTTTTGTCACAAATGTGCCCTTTTTCATTAGGAAGACAGGTCCCCCATCTCACTGCTCTCTCGAAGCTAGTGTAACAGAACAAGCATCCGCAAGTCTGCTCAGCCTCAGCACTGCTGTAAACCACAATGGAAAAACTGCAGCCAAGTATTCCCAGTAGAAATCTTGGAATTCCTTCAAGTATATTGAGATTTTGTTAGAAATTGAATTGCCAGTGTAATCCATCTTCCTTGTGAGAAAACATTCAGATAAAGAGCTGGGGCCGAGCAGCATCAACCATTAGAACATCCCTTAAATCAATAAGCTACAAATCTGGCCATGCTTTCCTGCAGCGCCTGGTGCTACACAAACGTGGCTTGAGGCTGAAGCAGTGTGACTGATGGCACATCCGAAACGAGGGCCAACTGTACAGTGATGCAGACTGCTAAGTTATGCCTGGGCCTCACCTCGTCACATCCTTCAGAACACAGTTGTGTTTTATTGATGTGCATAAGAAACGCAGTTTTCCTTTTGTTTTCCAGATTTTCCCAATGTGGTTATTGAAGGAGTTCTCCATGGGATATTTTACCCTCATCTACAGCCCAGGTAGAAACCCTTCCATGGCTAGAAGAAGCTGAGGCAAGTTTCGAAGGCACAGTGAAGGAAATCGATACCTACCAAATTAACCCAAACTCTCTGACATAACTGCTCTCGCTAGTGGTGAAATTCACAGCCCCAGCTTAATTCAAGGCAGGGACATTTCCATTAGAATGGTGCTTTAAAAATAGAAACTGAACCTGGACAGTGCTGAAGGTTAAGGCCAAGTGTTTTAAGAAGTAGAATGTAGCTGCCAATTTAGAAACACAGGAGAAGGAGGCGGAAGAGGATCCTGAGGGATATAGGGGTAACAGATCAGTTCCTCCCTACTGCAGTCGCACCATTTGCTGATTGAAAATCTTATCCTGAATCAAGATGAGACTGATCAACTTTGGTAGCTTTTTGGTTTAGATTTTATGACACACTAATCTTTTCTTCATGAGCTTTTTCTCAGCCAGTATGGATACATTCTGAAGTGCTGGCACCAGGATACTATCACAGAAGCACACTGCGCTAAACATCAGGAAGGAACTAAACTGGAAATTAAATTTTACTTGCAATATTAGGGCATTTTTTAAAATTACGGCATTTTTATCTATGTTATAGTGGAGTTGCATCATATCTAGGGGTTAGCTTCTAATTTCAGCACTTAAGATAAAATGGTACTGTCAGGATTGTCCTTGAAAGCCCTTTAGACTGACGCCATTTTGAAAATCTCTATCCACTACAACCAGTTTTCCTCTAGTGTTTGAAGAGATGACTGTTTCTTCAGTTGAAGACCAATGGAAGTTGTTGATATGTGTTTAGGGACTATTTTGTATAAAAAACACATACCTTTAAACACTAGAATTACATTTAGCCTTGCAAGATGCTTGTCCTCTAAGAGACAGATGAGAACTCAGTGACTAAGGGAACATCAGATTGACAACACTCATCTTGGTTTACTTGAGGACATCCATTCATTGACGAGGTGGTACTACCATGGGATTTATTGTTATTTTCCTTACTCCTCATCATTTCCTTTTCACTGACCTCATATACTGAATTAATGTAGATTAAATGTGTTTGTGATGTAACTCCACAATACATCTTATATTCATATTATGAGTAGTAAAAGTTGAAAGCATATATGCAACCTGTATGTGTGTGCTGTATTTGGGCATTTTCTTGAAAACCAATTAATAGCTAGCTTATTTATGATTATCAGTTTAAGAAGCTTCTTGTGGGAGAAGAAATTTAGATTTAAAACAACTAAATCATGATTTTTGATTAAGATCTAAATATAGAAGTTTAAAGCTTGCTGAAAACTCTTAGAGATATATTTATGATAGATGTGTTACTCTATGCTGAAAACAAGCAAAAACTAAATAATCAAGTGTCATCAACCAAAAATGACTGAATAGTCAAGTGTTGGAGATATTTTTAGATGTTTTTGTTATTAGCTATTTTGAGTTCAATAAAAACAAAGAACAAGAATTATTTGAATATGTTTTCTCCTAGGATCTTATTGGAAACACAAATTGTGTCATGTCTCTTTACACAAACACACACACATGTAAAAATTCTCACTTATTCACATAGAGATTTATTTCTAATCTGACAAGGTAAGTGTTAAATTACCTGATTTATTAAGCTAATAGCTACTCATTAAGTAGTTCCTGATTTACTAAGACAGTAAGAATTTTTAAAAAATAAAGACCAAGCAAGCATCATTGATGGCACACTACTCAAGAAATCTTCCTTGAGAATGAAATTTATTTCATTTTTTAATTTAAATTTTTAATATGTCATTTCATATTCCATTTCAGTTCCATTGCAGGAAATAGAAACTGCAGTAGCTATTTTAAGCAGAATGGAGTAATGAGAAACAGTATTTACAGGATCTTTTGGAAGGATGAGGGGAATGAACTCCTGGTGGGTCTCCAGGCACAACTTCCAGAATGCTCCAGCAGTTTCCAGGGAAGCTACAACCTCTGCCTTAAGTAGGAATTCAGGGAGCCAGGTGGCTGCTATGGAAGGTATTGAGGTCAAAACACCACTGTAGCTGCAACCCAGGGATCAGCAAGTAGGATCAGGAAGTTACCACCATAACCAGGAAGCTGGTGACTGGGCGCTAGAACACAGTGTCCAGCTGTCACCACCTACACCACAGTGGCTTCTCAACACCCATGCCTTTCTTGTCAGCAACCACAACCCAAAGCAGCAGGAAGATGTATTCAACCACTTCCATCCTCTACAGCCCATGAAAGTACGTGCAGTTGGTTGAACAGCTTCAAGGGAGTCTTGGAAGGAGCTGAAACTTTCTGGTCTCAGCAGCTCAGGAGTGCACATTGGAAAGATGATGGAATATATTTCCACAGTCAAAAATTTAGTAAAAAACATACAAATATATGTAAAGAAGAAAGTCTTTCCCCATCCTGTCTTCTGTATTCCCAGTTCCCCTCCCAGAGACACCACTGTACTTGGTTTACATGTATATGTCCAGAAATAGTTCATCCGCATGAAAGCAAATAATGTGTACATTTCCCCTTTTTCACAGAATATGCATTTTTCAAAGCATGGATTCAGAGGCAATAGAGAAGTGAAGAGTAGAGAGAAGAAAACAGAATAAAGCAAAAATCCTATTACCACTTAAGCCAGGATATGGGAGAGCCCTCACTGCCTCATCCCCCAGTTCTCAGGTTTGGTGGTTTGCCTGGGGCTGATCTCAGAGTATCCCCCAATAGCTGTTTTATGCAGAGCGGTTCTCAGGCCCACCTCAGTCACCTGGCTATTTTGCATATGGCAGCTCTAGTGTCCTTCCTACTACTCCCCCGACCCCATTTCAAATAGCAGGCCACGTATGCAACCCCAGAAACACTATGACCATTGCTACTTGGTCAATCATTTAGTCATTTCACTTTGAAAAGTGTGGAAATCTCATGATCACAGTTTAGAAATCGCAAATGGCTTTCTTCTCATTTGTCAGCTTTGATCAACTGATAATTGCTCTGGTAAGGATTCTGACACACCTGGTAGAGTGGATATGATCCAAAAACAGAAAATAACAAGTTTTTGGCAAGGATGAGAAGACATTGAACACCTTATACATTGCTGGTAGGAATGCAGAATGGTCCCACTTCTTCAAAATGGCATGGCATTTCTTTAAAAAAGTAAACAAAATTACCACATGATCTAGCAACTCCACTTCCAGATGTATACCCGTAAGAAGTGAATGCAGGGACTCAAACAGATTTCTACACCCCAAGTTCTTGAAAGCACTATTCACAGTAACTGAAAGGCAGAAGCAACTCAAGCGTCCATTGATGGATGAATGGATAAAATGTGTGTACATACAATGGATTATTCAGCCTTAAAAAGGGAGGAAATCTTGACACCTGCTACAATATGGATAAACCTTGACCACATTATGCTCAGTGAAATAAGCCAGTCACAAAAGGACAGCTGCTGCATGATTCCACTTATATAAGGTACCTAGAATAGTCAAACTCATAGAAACAGAAAATAGAGTGGTGGTTGCCGGGGTCTGGAGGGAGGGGGGAAACTAATTAGTGTGAGTTTCAGTTGGGGACGATAAAGTTCTAAAGATGAATGGTGGCAACGGTTATACAACAGTGTAAATGTACTTAATGCCACTGAACAATATATTTTAAAATGGTTAAAATGGTAAATTTTATGTCATACATATTTTACCACCATTTTTTAAAAACTTTTTAAAGTATTTTGAGTGAGTATAGGTTGAGTGAGTAAAGGTGTGGTAACCAATTAGTGATCTTTGTCACGGCTGCAGGAGTTTCCGCACACACACCAGGTGCTGGTCTCATATCCCTGGGAACCTCTGAGATCCTGAAACAATAGTTCTAAACCAGAGATGTGCATCAGAAATCACCTAAAACTATGAATCAGTAAATCTGGACCGGGGCCTGTGGTTGGGTACTTAGAAAATCTGCCCAGTTGATTCTCCTACACCCTTGTTAGGAACCACTGTTTGAGGGAGGTGAAAATGTGAGATGGTTCATGAACTCCCCCCCCCCTTCTTTGGTGATGATTGACTTTCATGCCTCCTGCAGAATCTGTTAGGAGAAGAACATCGACTCACCTCTCAGTATTGCATGTGGTCTCAAGGAGAAGGGACTTAGTCTGTTCTGGCTGCTGTGACAGAAATACCAGAGACCGAGTAGCTTATAAAAAACAAACAGTTATTTCTCCCTGTTCTGGAGTCTAGGAAGTGTTAGATCAGGGCACTGGCACATTTGGTGTCTGGGAAGGGGCTCTCTTTCCACTGTGTCCTCATATGGCAGGACAGGGGCCAGGGAATCTCTGTGGGGCCTCTTTCATGAGGGCACTATCGCTAACCTTCCAAAGGCCCCACCTCCAAACACCATCACACAGGGGACTAAGTTTCAATATATGAATTTGGGGGGAAGAGGTGGACACAAACATTCAGCCGATAGCAGGATGCTTTGAAGAAGCAGCAAGATGACACAAGTTTGAGTAGTGATCTCAATTGATACCCTATATGGCTATACATTTCTTTACCCAATCATCCAATAAAATGCACTTGAGTTCTCTCGCTGGTTGAAGGCACAGTGTTCATTATCTAAAGAATAGAGACATAATCCTTGTTTTCTGGAATTTAGGGCAATTTACTGGGAAGTATTTTTCCATTTAACTGAATTGGATATAAAGTTCGGTGATGAAGGCTATCTTCTCCAGTCTCTCTTTAAAGCTCAGCTTTAAAGTAGTCATTTTCATCTTGGCTTTGTTTTGGTTTTCATCCTTGATGATAATTATGAATTTTGAATTCAGCAACAAAAACCCAGGGAAGTAGCAGACACTAACTCAAAACTGAAAATTCCGCCCCATTTATGTTTTCCATCCATGCAGAAGCATAGTGACAGCCTGGATTCTGACGTGGGTGAAGAGGTATTGTGTGTGTGTGTGTGTGTGTGTGTGTGAGGGCTGAAGGGGGTGCATTGAAATATTAAGCCATTGAAGTACATGTAATTGACTAAAGAAGTATTTTGTTTTGTATCTGTGGAGTATGATTGTAACTCTGACCTATAAAATGTGAGACACTTTTTGTCTTCATTGCTCTTACATCAGGCGTCTTGCTGTCAACCATGTCTCCAGCTTTGATATTCTCTTCACTTCGATATCTTATGTACCAAGTTCCTCTGGGTGCCCTAAGGCTCTTCATACTTCATCCCATTATAACTTTACAAAGTTTGTACAAACTTTCACTGAAAAAGAAATTGAAGATAAGGTAGATAACTATCACGACTGAGCACTAATTTGGCGAAATTCTGTCCACAGATCATCCCATCAAAGCCTCACAACATCTTTCTGAGGTATGTGTTCGTATTGTTCTCATTTGACAGAAAAATGAAGGCTCAGCAAGGCAGGATAGCCTGACCAAGACCACTAGTTAATAAAGGGGATCAGGATTTGAATCTTTCACACATGAAATCAGGCTAGTCCACTCCGCCATCAGCCTCCCATTAGAACTGTTTGTATTTATATGTGCATTTAGAACCATACATGAATACTCAAGTCAAAGAGAACTAGTATTGTGACAGTCGCTCACATTTCTACACTGTCTTATCAGCATGCTTTCCCGTCTCCCTGGATTCACATATGCTCTGTGCTCTCAGCTGCAGCCTCCTCCCAGGTCTCTCTGCTTCCACTTTTACGATAGTCCATCCTCCTCCACTCAGGAGCCAGAGTCATCTGTTTAACATGTCCATCAAATCATGTCACTTGCTCAAAATTCTCCAGTAGTTTTCATTCCCTCCTGCTACCAAGTTCCTCTGCCCTCCTCTTCCTGGTTCTTATCATCCTGGCGACACTAGCCTTGATTTCCCAGGACTCGCCAACCTTGGTTCTCGCATGGGCCCTTTAGAGCTGCTGATCTCTGCCTGAAACCCCCTTCCCGCCTCTCTTCAGAAGACTGCTCACTCTCATCTGTTAGGTCTCAACTTAGATGCTACTTCCCCAAAGAGCCCCTCCTTGTCACCCGAATTTATGCTGCACCCCAGCTCTCACTCAGCACCACTGTTCTGTCATAGCACACTGTTATTTCTTTCACAGTGGTTATCACCGTCTGTAATACCCTGTTTATTTGATTAATGTCTCCCTTCGCCCCACCCTCCACCCAAAGAACATGAGCTCCATGTGGGCAAGGGTAGCGTCTGACTTGTTCACACTGTTTATCCAGTGTGGGGGCCAGAGTGGATCTCAAGAACCACAGCTGAAGGAGAGATGATGTAGCCTGTATTCCTACCACCCAGCTCGGAGCTGACTCCATGCTTCACAGCAGGGCCTTCAGACACGTGTGCAGAGCAGATGACCTTGAAACCAAGATTTGCTACATCTTCCCAGATTCCTGTAATGATTTATCCTGACTGTTCTGAAACAGTAGTTTTCTATAGTTTGCTCGATACACAGAATGGTAATGGCTTGAGTGACCATGTACTTGGATGATTTCTTAAATGTCTATCTTTTACAAATGCTAATTCGGTGGTTAGAATCTATGGTTCTGCGACATCTGAGGACAGTGGTTTTTTGAAGTTTTGGACCTTGCATCAGCAGCATCAGCATCACTAAGAAATTGTTGGAAGCACACATTCCCAGGCCCTGCCCCAGACTTACAGACTCAAGACGCTCGGAGAGTGGAACCCAGGAATCTTAACAAGCCTTCCAGGTGATTCTAATGCACACTAGAGTTTGAGAAACCCAACTCTAGGAACCTTTCAAATTATTTTCGTGTTGCACATTTTTTGATGTTCAAACTTTTTTTTTATTTAAAGAAAACTCACAGTACTTCTAGGGTGAACAGGCACAAAATCAAACAGTGCCAGACGGCACTAAAAAGGCTGGTGATACCTTTAAGACACCAGCCCATGAGCAACTCAATTAAACCAATAAGGTATTTTAAATGCAGTAAACAATAAGAGAGATCATACACTTAGAAATTATCTTTGTTTACATAAGCTTTTATATCTGGTTATTGTAATTTTTCTTAATTGCAGAAGGCATCATGGTATCTTTCTAAATCCTTGATATCTTTAAATGTGAATCTGAGTAAACTAGAATCCTTGACTTCATGGAACTTGTAGAATAATGTGGTATTAGATGGATAAATACCCCCCACAATGTGTCTTTATAAAATGTTGCATGCTATAAAGGAAAAATAAGAAGGTTTACTTATATGCAGGGAAGAT